AGGAGAGAGAGGAGAAGAGAGAGAGAGAGAGAGGAGAAGAGAGAGAGAGAGAGAGAGAGGAGAGAAGAGAGAGAGAGAGAGAGAGAGAGAGAGAGGAGAGGAGAGAGAGAGAGAGGGAGAGAGAGAGAGAGAGAGAGAGAAGAGAGAGAGAGAGAGAAGAGAGAGAGAAGAGAGAGAGAGAGAGAGAGGAGAGAGAGAGAGAGAGAGAGAGAGAGAGAGAGAGAGAGAGAGAGAGAGAGAGAGAGAGAGAGGAGAGAGAGAGAAGAGAGGGGAGAGAGAGGAGAGAGAGAGAGATAGATAGAGAGGAGAGAAGAAAGAGAGAGAGAGGGGTGGGAGGAGGGAGAAGGGAAGGATAAGGAGGAGATGGAAAGACTGATTTAGAAAGAGAAAAGGTCCGGGGATTGGCCCAGCGCTCAGGACTGCCAGCGAAATTGGCGTCTCCTCGGCCGTCAGCTGTGTATCACTGATAACACTTCACCAATTAACAAGTAATAGCTCATTACTGCCATCTAGTCTTATATCGTGATATTTCAATGTTAATTCGGAGAGCTGAAAGCGTATTAGCGATTGCAATCCGAATCAGATGCAATCGCCTATGCCAAATAGATTTGCTTCATTCAAATTAATAGCATTTATAGCTCCTAATGTCGAATTTCATTAGACGTTCCTGTGGAATTAAATGTTTATAAGGTACTAGCTGAACGTGGCAAGAGCCGCCCGGACAGATTTTGCTTTCTAGAACATAAACAGCTGTATGAAAATAAAACAGTAATCACAAACAGCATATGACGACAGGAAAGTATATTTCTGGAACTATAGTATTGTACACCAACTGCGTTCTCTTGGGTTTTCATCTTATCTTCAGACCCAACAAAATGTCTAAAGTTTCAGCTAGACACTTCTTTTTTGTATCCAAAAATTATCATAAGGAGGAAGATTTTGCTCCACTCACTCTCATTAAGCTGAGTTTAGTTTTATATAGTATTTCATGTTTTATCCGATAAAAAGTCAGATTTTGCTTCATCCTTTGCCAACGAGACACCCAACCCTGATGTAACCCTTCCCATGTCATTCCTCATATTACGTTACCCCTGTGGTCCAAATCCTAGCTCACTAGGCCCACCACCACTAAATGCACGAGAAACTAAATGCATAATGAGCTAACGTGCACACGTACACAGAGACACAGGCACTCGCTCTGGCACCATTCCCAGGCACCGTGTCGTGCAAGTTCAAGTACTGTGTCGCGGACGTATATAGCTTCCATCGCTGTCCATCCAGTCCATGTACTGAGGATTTCACTGCCAAGAGGGAGTCTCTTAGGAGTCTCTTAGAGAGAGAGAGAGAGAGAGAGAGAGAGAGAGAGAGAGAGAGAGAGAGAGAGAGAGAGAGAGAGAGAGAGAGAGAGAGAGAAGAGAGGAGGAGGAGAGGAGAGAGAGGGGGAAAGAAAGGGGGGGGAAGGAAGACAGAGAGAGAGGTGAGAGACAGAGAGAAAGAAAGAGACAAACAGATAGAGAGAAAGTGAATAACAGACAGACAGACAGAGAGGGAGATCACAACATAATGAATAAACTTTCACTTAATTCATGAAACGAGAAGCCTCATGCACAGTTGTTCATTAGCATAACGGGAGAAACGAGGCTGAATGATCATTAACCCTTCAGTTCGAGATGTGTGCCAATGCTGACTACACTATCTACTGACACGTATACTGAATTTTGTATACGTTGTGTTCCTGTGAAATTTCGTTTCTTGAGTATGTATTGTGTTTATGTTTTTTTCCCCCTCTTAGTTACGCGTTGTGTTTCTGTGATTTTTTTCCTTTTAATTTGGAATTGTGTTTTTGTGAAATTTCGTCTTTTAGTCACGTTTCGTGTGTGTGTTTTTTTTCTTTCTTTTTTACGTATTTTATTTTTGTGATATTTCCCTCTTGATTACGTATTGTGTTTCTGTGAAATTTTGTTTTTTAATTACGTATAGTTTTTCTGTGTATTTTTTCTACATTACATCTTATATTTTATTTTATTTTTCATTTTTCCATTCAACAAGTATTTCAAAAATATTTTATAATGAAATCGCATGTGAAAATGGAATAAGATTATAGAAAAAGATATATTGTTACTTTAATGCTCAGAAGAGTCAATAAAACGTAATACAATTTGGAAGCATTGATGACTGGCTGATAAATATTCGCTTAAATTTCTTTACGTGACATATATTGATCATTCAACTCGTAAGAGACTGTTTGTGATTATTTTTACTAGGGATCAAGAACAGTTACGAGAATAACAAATATACTAGATGTGTTTTTAAAATTTGTCCGAAGGCAGATAACTGAACAAACAGTGTCGGAGGACGAAGTCAAAGCCAAAACAATGCATTCGGATTTGGGGGAAGGCTGGATCAGTAGCAACTCGTGGAGGTGTCATGGCGTCCCACAGGGATATTTTGATGTATGTTCAATGAAAAAAATAATCAAAATAATTATTTTCCATCCTTT